CTTTGGCTCAGGGACCAGACTCTCTGTCCAGCCACGTGAGTGTGCAGCTTCCATAGGTCTTCCTTAGGTGCCTTTTCCATTAGATGTAAACCTGTGTTCTCATAATTTCACCCTTGCAGAGCTGAAAGCAATTCTGTAGCACTGCAGGTTCTGAGAATGCCTGTACTGCTTCAGTAATTGAAACTGGGGGTGGTGGGAGCCAAGCTGAACTGGAGGCCTGCAGGCTTTTGGGAAAGCTTTTGGCCAGTCACACAAAGGGTTTCCTTTCTATGGGGAGAGGAGAGTGTTTGCGTAAGGGCTTGTGTTGCTGTGAGTGATGTCCTGAGCAGAATCACCTTTGGAGCTGGGACTAAGCTTTGTGTAAAGCCCTGTGAGTACTGATGGTGGTATTTTGAATCCTTAGAGAGTAATGAGAAATATCCAAGTCAATTGGGATTGATTTTCCGGGGTGTTCCCTTCATGGAGAGGTCAGAAGAGCATGACCAGAAGGACACCTGAATTTGGAGTCAGGGGCAAGGGACATCTGCTGTCCCCCTGCATTTTTCTGAGGATCCTGATTCTGTTTCTGGAGTGTAGGGTTGTCTGTAGAATTTGCCATTGTGTGAGTTCAGCACCCAGCAGGAAGGAGACCCTTGGAAGTGGGACATGATTGATGGTGAGACCTTGTAGGTAGAAAGCAACCTTGAATGAGAAAGGATAGGAAATCTGCTTCCCCTCTGTTGCCTTAACTAGCTGTATTGCCTTGGAAACTGCTCCCCAAGAGATGGACACAGTGTGTGTTTGAGTGCACGCTGCATGTTGGGCATGCTGCAGTCAAGCATTAGAATGACACACAGTGCGAGCAGAATGTCCAGGTGAAATGGTCTGATAGTAATGCTGATCCAGGTGAGACTGAAATGGCCGTGGCCTTCCCAGAGCTGAGCTCAGCTGAGCTCTTCTTTCCAACTTCAACTGTTCTTCCACAACTCATCAATCCGTGACTGATTTGTCTGGAGAGTGCAGCACAGCGTCAGAAGAAGTGCTGCCACTCAAGTGCCTGTGTGGGCTTTTTGTTAGGGAAGGAAATGTTGTGTGATTCTGGCTTTGGCTCCAGCAAGCTGACCTTTGGCTCAGGGACCAGACTCTCTGTTCAACCCCGTGAGTGCATGGTTTCCATAGGTGCCTTTTGCAATAGATGTAACTTTATGTTCCCATATGTATTTCAGACTAGCAGAGATGAAATTTCTTCTCTGCCATTGCAGATTCCAGCATGTCTTTGTTGCTGCAGTTATGGTGTGATGGGAGCAGAGCTGAACTGCAGATTTAAGCTTTTGGAACGGATCACCTGAGAGTTTTTTGGGAAGGGTTTTGGCCAGCTACAGTAAGGGCTGCGTGTTATGGAGTGAGGAGAGTGTTTGTGTAAGGGCTTGTGTTGCTGTGAGTGATGGCGTGAGCAGGCTGTCCTTTGGAGCTGGAACAAAACTACACGTAATGCCGTGTGAGTAGCGTTGGTCCCGTTTTCAAGCCTTGCAGGTTGATCCAGAAATACCAACAATGTTAGCACGTTCATGTAGGACAGGCTTTCTGTGAGCATGCATGGTCCTGTGCCTGCTGTCTGGCTATGGAAAGGAGCTGCAGTGTGATGTGGGAGCAAAGGGAGACAGAGCAGAATTTTATATTTGAGCAGAGAAGGCAATTTGCAAAGCAAGGTCAGTGCTGTGCACTGAGAGAAGATCCTGAATAAGCACAGGGGCAAATATCTCCTGCCTAAGGGCAGTGTTGGTGGTAGAGCTACTCTTGTTGGGAAATAGTTTGTGAGAAAGGATTTTGCAAATCTCATAGGAACTATTTGCTTTGTCCTTCACCATTTATTTTATGCCCCGTCGTGATTTACAAATGTCGGCCTTTGCTGAGGGTGACTGTTTCTATTCTCTCTGAGCTGAGGGGTTTCTGTAAAGCAGGCTGTGACTGTGGCAATCTGGAAGCTCTGGTACTGACAAGCTCACCTTTGGGCATGGCAGCAGACTTTCTGTGAGACCCAGTGAGTAGCTTTTAGTTACCTGCACGTGTTAAACTGAGCTGCTGAGGTGGAGCAGGCGGTCATGAAGGTGAAGCTCAGCCTGTCCCAAAGGAACATTTCTGTGCTCCCAGAAGGTCCCTGTGCAGTTCCTAGCAGTGCATTCCTGAGGTCACAGTGCCTGCTCACAGCTCCCTGCTGCTGCTGCTGCCTGTGCTTCTTGTGCAGCTGTAAAGCTTCTTTTCCTCAAGATGTTGATCTGTGCCTGTATCATCAGGACTGTGCACCACAGAATGGGGACAGGTGCTGCTTCCCAGATGCCTGAGGGGCCTTTTTGTTAGGGAAGGAAATGCTGTGTGATTCCAGCTACATCTCCAAGCCGAGCTTTGGCTCAGGAACGAGACTCATCGTTCAGCCACGTGAGTGCAAGGCAGTTTCTGTAGGTCTTCCATAGGGCTCCTAGCGATAGATCTCGTGCTCTCTTCCTCTTTTCCATCTCAGAATTGCATTGCTTGAATTTCTAATCTGCCATTGAAGACCCTTGCAGTGCCCATGCTGTGGAAGGTAAGGATGACTTGTGAGCAGAGCTGGAAGAAAGCTTTGTGTAAAGCCTTGTGAGTACTGCTGGTGTTATTTGTTATCCATACATGGAAATCCAGAAATACCCAGGACATGAATGATAGTATGCATGTTATGGAAAAACTTTCATTAGGCATGCACAAACCTTTCACTTTTGTCTCTTTATGCCAAAAGAGATGCAGGATGGTGTGAGAAGAAGGGGAAACAGAACGGAATTTTAAATTGTGGGATTGTAAATAAATATTGTAAATCTGGGAAGGCAGGTCAGCACTGTGGATTGGGAGAAGAACATTCTCTACAGGAATGTCCCAGGCAGAACTTCCGGTCCTGAAGGAGCCCAAGGGCAAATATCTCCTGGATAAGGGCAGTGTTGATGGCAGAGCCAATACATTTCGGGACTGGTGAGTGAGAAGGGATATTGGAGATGACTCATCAATGGTCACCTTTGTCCTGTATCATAGAGTTCATGCTCCATCATAGCTTACAAATGTCAGCTTCTTCCAAGGGTGTTTCTTCACAGTGTTTCTTCTCTCTGAGCTGAGAGGTTTCTGTAAAGCAGGCTGTGACTGTGGCAATATGGAGGCTCTGGTATTGGCAAGCTCACCTTTGGGCATGGCAGCAGACTTTCTGTGAAACCCAGTGAGTAGCTCTTAGTTACCTGCACGTGTTAAACTGAGCTGCTGAGGTGGGGCAGGCGGTCATGAAGGTGAAGCTCAGCCTGTCCCAAAGGAACATTTCTGTGCTCACAGAAGGTCCCTGTAAAGCCATGAACACTGGCATTCCTGAGGCTACCATGTCTGCTCAGAGCTTTCTGCTGCTGCTGTTGTACTTGTTCTGATATGAAGGCATCCCTTTCTCAATACATCCACCTGTGCCTGTATTATCAGGAATGTGCCCCATAGAATGGGAACAGGAGTTGCTTCCCAGGTGCCTGAGGGGCCTTTTTGTCAGGGAAGGAAATGCTGTGTGATTCTGGTTATGGCTACCAGCTGACCTTTGGCTGAGGGACCAGACTCATTGTCCAGCCGTGTGAGTGTAATGCAGTTCCATAGGTTCTTCCAAGGGGGCTCTCTGCCATAGATGTAGGTTTGTGTTCCTTCTTTTGATCTTAAATTTTCCAAGTTAAAATCCATCTCTGCCATGGAAGTTTCCAGTAACGTCCGCGGCGCTTCAATTAAGGATGAGTTCTGAGCAGAGCTGATCTGCATGTCTGAATGCTTTTGTTAAAGGGTCACCTGTGTTCTCGGACAGTTCTCTGCTGTCAGACCGGTAATCTCATGCCTTGTATGGGATTCACTTTTTTAATGGCAACATAGATAACAGATTGGATGGACTGTGGGAGCAGGGGAAGGAAGAGAACATTTGAATGTGACCCTCATCTTCAACCCTGCCTCATCCCATGCAACCAGCATGTTAATTTCCACTCTTGCTTTGGGGTGAGAAGGATCCTCCTCACCCTTCTGCTGCCTCTCTGTGACCTGCCATGGTCAGACTAATCCTTGGGGACCAGCGTTAGTTCTCAAGTGACTGCATGGGCTTTCTGTGAAGGAAGGCAATGCTGTGTGAATACAGGATCTGCTGTCAGAGAGCTGACCTTTGGCACAGGGACCAGACTTTCTGGGCAACCCCGTGAGTACACTGCTTCCATTGGTCTTCCAACGGTGGTGGGAGCAGAGCTGAATTGGAGGTTTCCTTGCTTCAGGGTTGTGCAAATGTGCTGAGGATCGGATTCTGCCAGCCACACTCAGGGCTGCCTTGATATGGGGACAGGAGAGTGTTTGTGCAAGGGCTTGTGTTGCTGTGAGTGTAGGCTGGGGCACCTTCACCTTTGGAGCTGGAACAAAGCTTTGTGTAAAGCCCTGTGAGTACTGCTGCTGGTATTTGAATCCTTGCATCAGGATGCAGATGTACCCAGGGCTATAATCTTAGTCTGTTCGTTATGGAAAAGCTTTCTCAGAGCATGTCTACTCCTATCTTCTGTACAGTTATGGCAAAAGAGATGCAGTGTAGAATGGGAAGAAGGGGAGACAGCAGAATTTTAAATTGTTTCTGGGAATAAGACTGTTTTCAAATGCAGGTCAGCACTGTGGATTGAGAGAAGAACATTCTTCTCTCCAGGAATGTCCCAGGCAGAACTTGCCACTCCTGAGTGAGCACCAGTGCAAGTATCTCCTGGATAAGGGCAGTGTTGGTTCATGATCTGACATGACTTACAAATGTCAATCTTTCTGAGGTTAATTGTTTCCATTCTGTGAGCTGAGGGGTTTCTGTAAAGCAGGCTGTGACTGTGGCAATTTGGAGGCTCTGGTTTTGGCAAGCTCACCTTTGGGCATGGCAGCAGACTTTCTGTGAGACCCAGTGAGTAGCTCTTAGTTACCTGCATGTGTTAAACTGAGCTGCTGAGGTGGGGCAGGCGGTCCTTGAGGTGAAGCTCAGCCTGTCCCAAAGGAACATTTCTGTGCTCCCAGAAGGTCCCTGTGCAGTTCCTAGCAGTGCATTCCTGAGGTCACAGTGCCTGCTCACAGCTCGCCGCTGCTGCCTGTGCTTGTTGTTGTGCAGCTGTAAAGCCCCTGCAGAGCTGGCTGAAGTGTGGCAGAGGAACAGGAGAGTGAGCTCTGGGCATGGCAAAGTGCTCTCTGTGAATGCCCAGCTGGGTGCTGGCTGTTTCCTTACCCTGCAGCCCGAGCACTGGATTGGTTTCCCACTTGGTGCTTGTTGCAGGATGATTCCTGTGTGGAACGGTCCAAAGAGCTTGACCAGAAAGGCATCCTAATGTGGAGTCAGAGGCAGAGGGCAGGGGTAACATCTGCTGTCCCTCTGCATTTTTCTGTGGCACCTGGCTCTGTTTCTGGAGTGTAGGGTTGTCTGTAGTATTTGCCATTGGTGTGCCATGGTGTGAGTTCAGCATCCAGCAGGAAGGTGACCTTTGGAGGAGGGACACGACTGGCACTGAGACCTGGTAGGTAGAAAGCCAGCTTGAATGAGAAAGGATAGGAAGGTTGCATTCCCTCCTTTGGTAAATCCAGCTGTACTGCTTTGGAAACTGCTCTCCGCAGGGATGGAGTCTGTGTGTCTTTGCCCATGTACGTGTGTGCGTTGGGCTCTGCAGTCAGCTGTTGGTAAGGCACGCTGTGAGCAGTGCGTCCAGGGAAAGGGTCTGATTGTAACACTGATCCAGCTCTGAGCGTGGAACTCCTGAGGCTTTCCCAGGGCTGAGCTCAGCTGGGTTCTTCTTTCCAACTTAAATTGCTCTTCCTCCAGTCATGGTTCTGCGCCTGGTTTGTCTGGAGAGTGCTCCACTGAATGAGAGCACAGGCGCTGCCTCTGAAGCTCCTGTGTGAGCTTTTTGTTAGGGAAGGAAATGCTGTGTGATTCTGGCTACGGCTCCGACAAGCTGACCTTTGGCTCAGGGACCAGGCTTTCTGTTCAACCATGTGAGTGCCCATTTCCTAAAGGTCTTCCATGGGAATTTCTTCAAATAGATGTAGTTTTGTTTTCTTGTTTCTTGGCCTTTTGATTTCATGTTTGTTGGACTGAAAGGCTTTATCTGTCACTACTGGCTTCAAGAATGCCTCCTTTGCCAAAATTACAGATGTGTTGTGAGCAGAGCTGAGCTAAGATATAGTTTAAATATCAGGGGGAAGTTCTTTGATAAGAGACGGTGAGGTGCTGGAAGAGGCTGCCCTGAGAGGTTCTGGATGCTCCATCCCTGCAGGGGTTCAACACAAGGTTGGAAGGAGCCCTGGGCTGCCGGGTCTGGTATTAGATATGGATGTTGGTGGTCCTGCATGCTGCAGGGCGTTTGGAGCGTGATGATCCTTGAGGGCCCTTCCAGCCCAAGCCATTCTATGGTTCTATGAATCACTGATACTTTCTCAACTTAAACCGTTCCTCCTGAACTCATGGATCAGGGCCTGGATTGTCTCAAGAGTGCACCACAGGATGGGGATAGGTGCTGCCTCTCAAATGCCTGTGTGGGCTTTTTGTTTGGAAAGGAAATACTGTGTGATTCTAACTCCAATGCTGGCAAGCTGAACTTCGGCTCAGGGACCAGACTTTCTGTACAACCATGTGAGTGTGCTTTTTCAAACAGTCTTCCATAGGTGCTTTTTGCAGGAGATGTAATGCAGTGTTAATCCTTTTATTACAGCTTTGTGAGCTGGAACCCTTCTCTGCCATTGCAGGCTGTGAGAATGCTCTTGCTGCAGAAAATAAGTGAGCAGAGCTCCCTTATGTTGTGAGCAGAGCTGAACTGGAGGTCTGAATGCTTTTGGGAAAGGGTACTCAGAGCTCTCAGTCTGTGCTGTGTCTCACTGGCATTCTCACATCTTGTCAGGGATTTGCCTTTGTGATGGCAACACAGAGGACAGTTTGGATGGGCTTTGAGGTCAGGAGAAGGAGGAGAACGTTTGGAAGTGCCCCTCAAATTCAGCCCAGCCTCATCCCATGCAACCAGCATGGTAATTTCCACTCTTGCTTTGGGGTGAGAAGGATCCTCCTCACCCTTCTGCTGCCCCTCTGTGACTTGGCATGGTCAGACTAATGCTTGGGGACCAGTGTTGGCTCTCAAGTGACAGCGTGGGCTTTCTGTTAAGGGAAGCAATGCTGTGTGAATACAGGATACGGTGCAAGAGAGCTGACCTTTGGCACAGGGACCAGGCTCTCTGTCCAACCCTGTGAGTACACTGCTTCCATAGATCTTCCATTTGTGCCTCTTCCAATAGATGTAATTTTGTGTTTCACCTTTGGACTTATAACACGACAGGGCTAAAATCCCTCTTCTGCCATTTCTAATAATGCCCTCACTGCTGCAGTTAAAGTATTTCAGCGTGGTGGGAGCAGTGCTGAATTGGAGGTCTCACTGTTTTAGGGAAAGGGTCACCCAAGTGTTACAGAGTTAGGGCTCAGCCAGCCACACTGAAGGCTGCCTTGATATGGGGACAGAAGCGTGTTTGTGCAAGGGCTTGTGTTGCTGTGAGTGTTGGCTGGGTCAGCTTCACCTTTGGAGCTGGAACAAAGCTTTGTGTAAAGCCCTGTGAGTACTGCTGGTGGTATTTTACATCCTTACATGGTGATCCAGAAATACCCAGAACAATAATGTTATTTTGTACATTTGGGGATTTTTCTGCATGTCAGCATGCACAATTTTTTGTCTTCTGACTGGTTATAGCAAACAAGCTGGAGGGTGGAATGGGAAGAAATAGCAGTTGAGCACAATTTTTCCACAGTAGAAGGGGGAAGATATTTATGATGGAAGGTGACAGACTGTGTGCATGGATGGACACAGACTGTGAGCAGTATGTCCAGGGGAAATGGTCTGATTGAAACATTGATGCAGGTCTCAGAGTAGAATGCCCTTGGCCTTTCCAGAGCTGAGGACATTTGCATTCCTCTTCCTCAGCTTCACTTTCGCAAGACATCAATCAGTGTCTGTTTTATCATGAGTGCACAATCAATGAAGATGTGTGTTGCTACCCAGATGTCTCGGAGGGGACGAGGGGAGGCTTTCTGTTAGGGTAGGAAATGCTGCATTATTCTAAATATGACTCCAAGCTGACCTTTGGCTCAGGGACCAGACTCTCAGTTCTGTCATGCAGCTCCCAAAGGTCTTCCATACATGCTTTTTTCCATAGATGTACTTTGGTGTTCCACCTTTTGATTTCACATTTGCTGAGCTGAAAGCTCTTGCCTGCCATTACAGGCTACAAGAATGCCCTCACTGCTGCAGTTACTGTGGTGGTGAGAGTAGAGCTGAACTGGAGGTCAGCATGCTTTTGGGACTAAGTCACCTTTAGACATGGAGTATGCTCTGTGACACTGATTTTCTGAAACTTATGAGGAATTTACCATTGTGCTGGCAACCTAGGGGATAGTATGGATGGATAGGGAATAGGAGGAGAAGTCTTGCTGAGGTGGGGGTCAGCCAACCACACTAAGGGCTTCCTTATTATGGGTGGAGGAGAGTGCTTGCATAAGGGCTTGTGTCGCTGTGAGTGATGGCTTGAGCAGGCTGACCTTTGGAGCTGGAGCAAAGCTTTGTGTAAAGCCTCATGAGTACTGTTGGTGGTATGTTGTAGCCTTGCATGATAATGCACAAATCTCTAAGACATTAATGTTAGTACGTGCATTATGGACAGCATGCACAATCCTTCATCTTCTGTCTGGTTATGGCAAAGGAGTTGCAGGGTGATGTGGGAAGAAGGGGTGACAGAGCAGAAGTTTCTCTCTGGGCATAGGAGAGTTTACTTACAAAGGATAGTCAGAGGTGGTTAATGGCATGAATTAGAGTGGATGTAAGCCAAGACTTGGGTTTTTGAGGCAGCAGGAAACACTGTGGGTATAATGCAGCAGGTGGAAAGATGACATTCGGTGAAGGAACATTGCTGACCGTAAAGCTCTGTGAGTACAAGCACTGAGTCCACTCCGGCACTTTGCAGCCTATGAAGCTACCAGGTGCTTTCTTTCCCTATGGCTTTTCCTTTTTTTGCAAACCAATGTAATTTAGGGCTTCTCTTAAATTGGTAAAAATCTGTCTGTATGGCCTTGCTCAGAAAATAGTGATGGATCAAATTAAATCTAGGCTGCAATAGGTAGTGCTCCCCAGACATCGGTACTGGAGCCCTTCCTGTTTAATATCTTCACTGATGATATGGACCAGGGGATTGAATGTGCCTCAGTAAGTTTCCAGATGGCAAAGCTGGGGGGAAGTTTTTCTGCCTCGGGGCAGGAAGTCTCTACAGAAGGATCTGAACAGGCTGGATGAATGGGCTGAGGCCAGCTGCACCATGTTCAACGTAACCAAGCGCTGGGTCACTGCATGCTTGGGGCAGTGACTGGAAACTGCAGAAAGGATCTGGAGGTGTTGGAACATAACATAAACCAGTAGTGTGCCTGAGTGGCCACGAAGGCAATGGCATCATGGCTCTTACCAGAAACTCTGTAGCCAGCAGGAGCTGGGAAATCATCTTCCCTTCATACCCAGCACTGGTGAAGCTGTGCCTTGAATATTGTTGTTGGCCCCTTACTAGAAGAAAGACATCAAGGCCCTGGAGCATGCCCAGAGAAGGCAATGAAACTGTTGAGAAGTCTGGAGCACAAGTCTTACGAGGAGTGGCTGAGGGAGCTGGGATTATTCAGTCTGGAGAAGAAGAGGCTCAGGGAGACCTGACTGTCACTACAGCTACCTAAAAGGAAGTTGTGGCGAGGTGAGGTCGGCCTCTTCTCCCGTGTAACCAGTGCTAGGGGTCTAGAGGAAATGGCCTCATGTTGTGCCAGTAGAGGTTCAGGTTGGATAATAGGAAAAAATCCACTCAGAAAGAGTAGTGATGCATTGGAATAGGTTGCTCAAGAAGTGGAGGTGTTCAAGAAATGTGGAAATGTGGCACTTTGGGACATGGTTTAGTGGGCATGATGGCAGTGGGTTAATAGTTGGACTAGATGATCTTAGTGGTCTTTTCTAACCTTAACGACTCTGTGATTCTAAAAGTAGGGGCTTGGGCTCTCAAGGAGATGGGGTTGCCTTTCTCACCAAGGATGTAGAAGGGCTTATGTTCTTGTGA